ACAAACTTTTTCGGAAAACCAAAGGAAACTTGTTCATTTTCAGAAACAAACCACTTATGAACTCACCAGCTTTATGCTGATTTTCAAACTGCTTGTATTCTCAGGTCCACATTAGATAGGTACCCGTGATCTTTTGGAAAATACAGAGCGTTTTAGCATACTCGTCTTTACTTTTGTTCACACTATTGTATAGATAAAACTTGTAATCACTTTACTTTCAATCAAATGTAATTATTCCTATGTAATGTAATATTTTGTGTTTACTATGCTTGCTATGTACATTGGTTGTGATACTTTACATGACGTCATCTGCCCCAGAACGTTTCCGCCATCGGTTTCGGGGTGTGATAGATTGGTATCAGAGCCCTTGTTTATAGTGAACTAAGTATACCAAACCTTACATGGTATAAGACTATAAACACTAAGGGGCCGAAGTGCTCTGAACTAAAAGTATACTTACAAATATGAGTATTTTTCAAAAGTATACAAGCATACCTAACTGCCGGAATTTGTAACCTCGAGTAGAACAAAACATAAGTAATTGGGTGTTGTACGTTGCGGTTAAACCTGGGTAGTTATGTAGTCATGTCCTGGGTCAATATAGCCTGATCAACTATATCCATTCGAGACACAGCCAACGTGTGCTTGGGAGTGATTGTGGTGTGCGGCATGCCTAAAACTTACCTAATATCCAAACAATGATTCATCGTTGCAGCGAAACTTAAAATACTATAGGAGTATTTTAACCAGAGCCGAGTACATTGTGGAAATACATTCCGAGTGTTACTACTCCTTCTTTCCTTAGCGATAGTTTATCTGCATTGATAACTCTTTCCTGTTTTATCGCTTAGTAGATCATTATACCTGTCATAAAGAGATATCTCTTGTTCCATATCTCTTGGTTCAATTCAGAGGACTTATGATCCTCTCTTTCCTGGCTATTATAGATCAAGATGCCTCCAAAGAAAAGACCCAGCTCAAAGAACAAAAATCCTCCTCCACCACCACCTCCTTCTCCATTTGATCCCGCCATGTTTTAGGCAGCTGTTAATGTTGTTGTGGCTGCTACCATATCACAAAAGAACCTTGGTGGTTCAGGCGGGCCAGGAGGTGATACTCAGCCTCAAAACCAGGAAAGTAGCCAGGGACACAGGAAGGAGTGTTCCTACAAGGACTTTATGAACACAAAACCCACACCCTTCAATGGCACTAGAGGTGTCATTACCCTAACCCGATGGTTCGAGAAAATCGAATCTATCTATGAAATATGTGCCTGTTCGGAATCTGATAAGGTGAAGTTCGCCGCCTGCACCTTCACCGATAAAGCCCTGACTTGGTGGAACGGCCGAGTCAAATCCTTAACTTCACCTGTAGCTAATGTTATGGGTTATGAGGTCATGAAGGAGCTTATGCTTGCTGAGTACTGCCCTCGGGGCGAAATGCAGAAGCTGGAACACGAACTCTAGAACCTAAAGATGAAGGGTTCGGATATCACTGCTTACACTTCAAGATTTGATGACTTGGCGCTTCTCTACCCCGGAATGGTGACCCCGGACAGTAAAAAGATTGAGAGATTTATCTGGGGGCTGACCCAGCCAACCAAGGGAAATGTTTTGGTTGCAAAGCCAGACACATACGACAACGCCAAATGCTTAGCGCAAACCTTGATTGACCATGGTGAGGATCATGAGGAAGCAACCACCACTCCTGAGCCGACAAAGATGAGTGGTGAGAAAAGAAAATTTTGGAAAAAGAAAAAGAGTCAATCTTCCCAAGGATCTTCAAAGAAGCAGCAAACTGTGGCAGTCCACACTGCTACTATCCCTGCTGATGTTTCTGCTATCGGATCCACAACTCAAACACCTACCAGTAGGTATGCTGGTACCCTCCCATGTGTAACAAGTGCAACTATCATCACCTCACTTCCAGCCCATGTCGGGAAATGAATTACAACAACTGTGGCAAGAAGGGCCACACTGCGAAAAACTGCAAGACACCAACCCAATCCACAAATCAATCTTCCGGAGCGGGTGTCGGTCAGGCCTACTACGGATGTGATGAAGTTGGGCATTTCAAGAGAAACTGCCCCAAAGCAGCAAAAACTGGTAACACCGGAAGAGTTCTAGCTATGGGATGAGAAGAGGCTGTCGCCGACCCCCCCCCCCCCCCCCCCCGCGGTTGTCTCGGGTATGTTCCTTCTCGACAACTCTTATGCTAGTATCTTTTTCGATTCTGGTGCTGAACGAAGTTTTGTTAGCCATTCATTCAAACATTTTCTTAAACATAATACCCAACCATTAACCGAAATCTTTACCATCGAGATGGATAACGATGAGAAAGAAAACGCTAACGACATATATGTTTAATATGTGGTATTTTGGGTGAATTACTATGGTTTTATTTATAAATTAAAATGAAATTTTTGGATTGTATTTTTGGAATGTTTCAAACACATTCTTTTAGAATGTCCGAATTAATATAATTATTATCCAAAAAATCATATTTTTAAAGTTTAGAGAATTAATTATTTCTTAAAATCTACAATTTTCCTTTTCTAAATTTATGTTAATCGAATAAAATACCCTTACAATGAAATTAGATGGTATTTTTTTAATTATCTTTAATATAATAATATGTATTATTCATTTTCTTAAATTAATTGAAATGATTGGTCTACAATCAATCCTACATCCAAACAATAATTATGTAGAATACAATAACCTAACCATATATATATATATATATATATATATATATATATATATATATATATATATATATATATATATATATATATATATATATATATATATGGGTGAGATCCATTAAAAACTCATATTTGCCGAGAACCCGAGAACTAAAGATTGAGCATTAGATCAAAATTAGCTTATTAAGAGCTTGATCGTTATCTTACCAAACTTATTTAATGCTTAATTTTTTGTGTTAATAGAAATATTAATAATAAGGTCTAAAAATTAACATAAAAATTAAATTTTCAGATTTTTTTTTAAATAATAATATTCGGTTTTTTTAAAAACCACAGATTTAATTTTTTTTTTTAAATATGATTTTTTTTAATGAAAAAATATATTTTTTTTTAAAACTGCAATGTTTTTAAAACTGTAAATTTATTAAATTTTAAAAAAACACAAGAATATTGAAGAAATTATATTTATAATTTTTTTAACCAAAAAAATAAACGTTCTTGGTGTATATATACATATTTTTTCAAGTGCATATATGCATATTTTTTATACTATAATATCCATAACTAAATCATAAACAAAAAATAATAAAAAAAAAATAAAAAAAACCATTTTTTATTACTAATCTATAAACATAATAGTACAAATTTAATGATTTTTAAAAATCTACTATTTTTAAAAACATTGCATTTTTTTTAAATATATATATTTTTTTCATTTTTTCAAAAAAATCATGTTTTCTTAAAAAGTTAAAAAAAAATCTGCATTTTTTTACAAAAAATGAAAATTATTATTCTTTAAACAAAATATGACAATTTAATTTATAATGTTTTCTAATAACACAAAAAGTTAAACTTTAAATGAGATTAATAATGAGATTAATAAGACGTCGAACATGTCTTTAATAAGTTAATTTTGATGTAATGTTCCACCTTTAGTTCCCGGTTCTTAGGAAAGTATGAGTTTTCAATGGATTTTACCCTATAGTCTCTCTCTCTCTCTCTCTCTCTCTCTCTCTCTCTCTTCCTCTGTGATATATATATATATATATATATATATATATATATATATATATATATATATATATATATATATATATATATATATATATATATATAAAACACATGTACGATGCGAATACACATACATACATAGTAATATTAATATTATTATTAATCAAAATAAAAGTTATAAATATTTAAAATATATTTTTTTTGGTATTTCATTGTTTTTTCCTACATATAACCTTTAAAAAGAAAATTCATCAATTTTCGTAGGTACTTTCCATCAGATGGCCTATAGATCGACCTACATCCCTAGTTGGTCGAAAAGGCATTGCTAAATTAGGGTGGTTTCCCTTATGGGCAATACATCGGTTTCTCAAAACATTTATTTCCGAAATATTTTTGAGAAAAATATTGTTTTTTCTAGTAGGGTGTGTATCAACTATAATAAATGATGATCAATTTTGTTATATGTTAATTTCTCATTAGTTTTAACACTTACTATTTTATGATATTTTTTAAATAAATAATATCTACATATCAATTTCTAGGTTTTTCTAATTTTTAAAATTAAAAGCCACATAATACTTGTATATTTATATATGCAAAGTATTAAATGTAATAAATATGTTACTAATTGTAATTAATACGTTTTTTCTTTCCTTATTTCAAAATTATATTAAAAAAATACTTAATGTTTACATTTTAATATTTAATTTTTTTAATCAATCCATATAATACATGAGTTTTACTTTTTACACCTATTATATACTATACGATAGTTTATTGACTTATACAATCCCTACAATGATATTGTATTTCATATTGATTAATCAATTACCTAAGTTGACGAATATCTCTCTACTTTATTAATGCAAAAATTAGCAAATATTTTGGCCATTGTTTTTCACACATAATTCATTGTTGTTTCTTTTACACGTATCATCATATGCTGCAGCATATGCTTCTGTTTTAAAAGCATTCATAATGTATTGTTGAATGAGATGACATTAATAATTGATATTCAATAGATTAAATTCTATCATTATAAAATATATGTTGGCGTGCAATGGAAGTTCAATGGTCATTGAACTTTCAATGGGAAAAAAGAATTTTTTAAATATTACAAATATACTGCATTGAACTGTATATATAGAGTTCAATATGTTGTAAGAAAAATTAATATAGAGTTGTATAGAAAATAAAATGATGATATATCAATCGATTAAACTCAAATACATTTAGTGCATTGTTGATGTCCTAAACTAGAATGTTATTAGCGAGTTTTGTAGTTGAAAGATACAAAACCATACATATACATCCTCAGCAACTTACAATGTGACATTGTTATATCGTTATGTCTCATCTTATGGAATCAAACAAAACCATAATAACAATTATCAAATAATATTACAACTAGAACTTTTACACTTTACAACAATTTCAATATTTTCGAAGTGCATTTTGAAATCAAAGGTACTCTAAACGGAAACCACCACCGATGATTAGACATGGAGTCTTCATAGTAAAGAACCTGTTTCTTGGGCCGAAAGAGGTATCTAGAACCATACGTCGACCGAAATATATCTTTCCACAAAGGAAATTGCAACGTAGCAAATAAGAGAACCGGCATAGTAGCAAAAAAGGCAATAAGAATCGGTATCCACTTCAAATCCTTATGATATAAAACAAAGAAGCTGACACTAAAAGCAATCATCATGGTTGTTATCGAGAGAAAAAGCGTCGCTAAACCTATCATAAGCTTTTTGGGTAACGATTCCAAGAAATCACGTTCAGCATAACGAGATGTGAGGATAGATAAGAACATGAGGATTGAAGCTGAAGATGAGAACAAAGACACAGCATCTGACACTACGAAAGCTATAAAGGTTCCTTTCCGTTTAAAGTAAGGGATACCATCATCCTGATCGTATCCACCTGGCACTGTAAAAGCTGCAGCGAATACTATGGTGGCAATAAGGGCGGCAACCACCATACATTGACTAGCGGTGTCTTTCATCCAGTCCTCACCTTGTTTGACCAACTCTTTGTGTTCTCTGGTGAATAATTCATGTGGTGTTAGACCTTCTTTGTTCCTTCGTTCGCGATAAGAAGGTGGAATCATGTTCTCTACTTCCTATAACATAAACACAGTAGATCAAGTAACAAGTATTTCAAAATTAACATCAGTGGAGTTGAGGAAATATAATAATTGTACCTTAAACCACAATAGTTCACGTTGCATCTGTAAAGCAACTCCTGACACGTCCTCAAGTCGTTTTTTCTTAGCACTTTTCCCAACTAAATGCAACATGTTATTGTCATTTTTATCTTTGAGAGGAGTTATGAGATCCTTCATTGAGCCTATCTCGTATAATAAGTTGTAGATACCCTCGTGACGATGTTTAACAGCAGTGTGAAATATACTTTGATTGTTATCATTTACTTTCCATATTAAATCAGGATACTTGCGTATAAGCTCGATGATAAATCTTGTATTCCCCATTTCTGCAGCAACAAATATTATTCGGGCGGAGTACTTTTTAGTTGGATTTCCCCGAATTTGTACATTTGGACGAATTACAGGGGGGGAATCTTTGATTAAGTTTCGGATTTCAAATGGCATTTTGTCGATTCCATCAGAAATTCGTTTTAGTAGTTCAAAAGTTTGTTCTTCTTTGTCAGAGGGTGACTTGTCATCTGGCTTAACAGGAGGATCAGGGGGGCCTCTGATTATGGCATCAATTTCATTCCTTGGCTTCTCAGAAATATTTTCCCAAATGAGTGTCAGTAATTCCAGTGCTTTTGCTTTGCTTTCCCTTTCTAGAACTTGCTTCTTTGGATTAATCACTGTAACAATATATAAGATATTAACAAGTGAAAAATGATGGATGATGAATCAAGGAGTAGAGATGCTTTGTTTACCCCAATTGAAGGTTTTCTTAAAGATATTAGATTCCGTTTCAGCAAATACATCAGCCTTTTTAGCTAAAACTCCAAGCACACTTCCACTACTACGAAGGTCTGGATGCTCTTGCACTATCTTTAGTGCAATATCTAGAAAATATTTGAGATTCTGTATGAGGAAAAATGGTATGAAAAAAAAAAAAGTAACAAAATAGAAAATGAAAAGAAGAAGACATACCAAACATATCAGTCTCAACACATTTCAGAAGAAGCCAACCTCGGTTTTGAGGTGTCCAACAATCATCGTGCAAATTCTGGGAATTATCATACAGAAACTTCACCACCTCATAATGTCCAAACAAGGCAGCCATATACAGTGGAGTCATGTGTTGACTACCAGTGATTGCAACCAAGGCTTTGTTCTTTTTCACCATAATCTTAACCATTTTAACATTTCCAGCTGCAGCTGCTAAACAGAGGGCAGTGTTGGAACTGTTGTTCTCAAGTTCCAGGTCTGTTTTATCCATGTATTCTATCAGATTTTCCAAGAAGTCTTCAACCTGTTTGGTGCTTTTTGCTGATGCTGCAACATGAAGTGCTGTTTCGCCATTTTCAGTGATACTATACCTTACCAACTCGAGCCTTTTATCAAGAATGGCTTTAGCAGCTTTCCAATCACCTTTAATTGATGCTTCGTATAGAGGGATACCAGTGGTGATGTAATCTTTTCTAGGCCCTTTAAAGCAGTGTAATGCAATGTTAGTACACCATTCATCCAAGAACAATTGATATATGAGAACTGAAAATCAATTCCATCTTAGATAAAGTAGGCTTTCTATGAAATAACAAGGGATCTCATCTGGAATTTCTGAAAGGGGAACAGTATTACCCTTTGATTGTTTATTTTAACCTTTTTTTATGCAAAGTTTCCTAATTTTCTCCGAGGAGAGTAGTGGAAACAGAAACGGAAAGGTATGTACAAACTCTTTTCTCAACCATCGGCAAGCCTGGAGCATTAGTTCATAGAATCATAGGAATCGCCTTATTTTCGATATGAAATCTGGTGTATAATAGCAGTATATGTAAGGAATTGAAGGAGTAAAGTGGGTAGCAGAAGTTACCATTAAGTAGATCTGGACACGGTTTTGAGTGAGTTTGTGATACAGTAATTTTGATATCCTGCTGCGTATGCTGACTTAATGACTTATCCTCGTCGATTGAGGCTAACTGTACACTTGGTTGAGCCATCTGCACGGGATGATTAAAACCCTAATTGCTTGACGCCATGACCAGAAAATCAGAGGATTTGCTGATAATACCTCTGTGTCAGCAAGCGATTCTTACATAAGCGAATGAAATTCGGAAAAAAGCCTTGCTGGAGATCATTTGAACATTTAACTATTAAAGCGATGACTATATACAGCAAATTTCTCTCTCTTTAGTCAATGTCAATTCTTTCCAATCTAAAACAATTGTTAATTGCAGAACTAATAAAAAATATCATTATATTATTTATATACACTCCACTAGTCTACTTACATATAATAATAACCAGGTCGGGAACTCCCGCAGGAATCGGATGTGATAGGTTTTTCAGTAAAATTGAAATATGAATAAAATAACTTTACATTTTAAGAATGACTTTTAAAAAAAATTAAATTTCTATTTTTTACATATTCATTTTCACTATAGGATGTAAAAACTTTGTTTTTTTATATATTTATTTAAAAAAACAAAAATTGCACCTTAAGGAAGTGAGCTTTCCATTATTGGTGGACTTTGTGTAGATGATGTCTTAAAGCTGCTATTTGATACGCTTTTTAACATCTGATACAAATAACCCAAAAAAAAATCGACATAAGAATAAATATGGTGCCATAATTTACATAAAAGTAAACATTTCATTAAAATCTCCCCAAATCTCATAGCTACTCGTTTTACTCAAATGCCCTCAAATCTCATTGCTACACGTTTTACTCAAATTTATTTTGGTTCCAAGAATAGTTTGGAAGGAACTGGAATTTGTAGGGTTTGGTTTGGCATATGAAAGAATTGGAATATTTTCATGTATTTGGTTGGCAAGCGAAAACAGGTGTTCGGTGAAAAGGGCATTTAAGTAAATCTAATGTTTAAATTCAAAGGCCAAAGGATTTTTTTGGATTCCAATGTAATTTAATTCCATACGTAAGATTGGAGTAAGATTGGAGTGGAATTGAATGCATGGAATCTTAGTCTTCTTTATGCCATACTTCTTCAAAACACTTAAAAGCCTTGGATACTTCTTCATTCTATGCAAGCTAACAAAAAAAAGGAATTATTTTTACTTATTATTCTTCACACGTTTAGGTTAACGGATCAATAAATCAAAAGTGAATCTTGAGGTTATGTACCAAGTTGGTATTTTTTTACTGTCACTTTGTAGAGCTTGCTAGCTGGCCAAGACCAGAGGAACTTCATTTCCAATAGCAATACCTACTATATGTGTTTTGGACTTCCTCCCTGCAAAAGATTAAGTTACATATATAGGGCAAAAGGATCCTTACTCCCATGTGGTTTTAGGTTTGACCTGCTTTTCCAACACAAAATATCCCAATCATCTTAAAACTCAAAAATGGGACAAAATGAAGTGAAAATGGTAATTCTGTCCAAATCCTAGAAAAGCTGAAAAACTCAAAAATGGTCAACTAAGGTGGTCAAGCTGTACCTAAATAACAAAAAATAACAATTATAAAAAACAAAAATATTTTCATTTATTTGTGTCATACTTTCATTCCTTTGAAAAATCTACTATAGCAATTGTATCAGTTTTTACCTCTGTAAATGGGTAGATTCGTCATTTGTCTACAAATATGATGATATCATCAAGTATGTTGCTATTTCTTACCCTCCTAATAAACCAAAATATGTTACTTGAAAGTATTATGTTATTTGAGACTGAAACTTTGTCAAATGTCTATAATCATATGTTGTGATTTTTTACTGGAACATCATCAAATCACCACAATACCCTCGGTCATATTTTGTGATTTCAGACTAAACCTATGTCAAGGTACTAAAATGCGCCTTGGTCATATTTTGTAGTGAAACTTCCAAAAAAACAAAGAAAAAATGTTTCATACCTTCTTCCCATTCTCGTTTCAGGGCATATTTTTAATAAATAAAACATATCCAGCTCAATAACGATTGTCAACAAACCTGAATTTTTTTTTTTGAAACAATACTTAGTACCTTCAAAAGAATCCAAATTGTAAACAACCAATGTGATGGAAAACAAAACCCAAAAGGGAGAAATCATTTCTCTGTGGCTATCTATTCTAAATTAAGCATACAAAAGAACACAAAGCAGGTAAAGAAGTCCTCAAACAATTCATTTGAGAAGGATAAAGTGTTTTTTCCAATAAGGAAGCAAGGTTTGTGTTATATATGTCCAATAATGTTGGTTTAGTTCGTCAAATCACCACAATACCCCGGTCATATTTTGTGATTTTAGACTAAAACTATGTCAAAGTAGTAAAATGCCCTTACTTATATTTTCTTATTTCAGACTAAAACTTTGCCGAATTACTACAATGGCCTAGTCATATTTTGTAGTGAAACGTCAAAAAAAAACAAAAAACAAAAAACAAAAACAAAAACAAAAACAAAACAAAGATAAATGTTTCATACCTTCTTATCATTCTCGGTTGAGGGCATATTTTTAACAAATAAAATATATCCAACTCAATAACGAACCACAATAGCAACAAACCTGGAAAAAAAAGTTGAAACAATAATCCAAATTGTAAACAACCAACGTGCAGAAAAACAAAACCCAAAAGGGAGAAATCATTACTTCCATTTATTTGTCACTTTTATATCTTCTTATAAAATCATTGAAGAAGTACATTGTCTAAATAAGGAAAAAAAATGAGTAGATTATGCAATTTTTTTAGAATATAAAGAACATTGTTAACTGGTTTTTATGCTAGTGGTTGAAGCAATGTTGCTTTTCTTATGATTTCAAAAGTATCAGGGGCATCTCTGGAATTTTGATAATAAAAATGAATTCATAGAATTACTTTTGGCAGTTCAAATATGTATAGTTTGTTTGTTATTTTTTTTGAGGTGTTAATTTATTTTTCTGCGGCTGCTCAATATTGAAGAGGTTTAATAACATCGTTTAAATACCAATAAAACCGATTTGGGTTTTTGCTGTGGTGGGTATGGTGTCACCTATCCTTGCATCTGATACTAACTTATTGAACCTGATATGTATTATGTATTGAAAGTTAATTAAGCATTTTCCATATCAAAGATTAAGTATTAACATCATAAAATCTCAATATCTTGCCTGAAATATAAAATGCCTACCAAAAAGGTTAAAAAGGGACACAAAATAGCAACAATTGTGATGAAACAGATGATGTAAAACCTGTAGAACCAAGTTCCTATCCAAGTTTTTTACACTTTATGGGGTTTAGATCAAGTGTTTCTTCAACTTGGGACTCATCTTCTTCTACTTGACCTGTAATAAGCAAGAACCACAACTGAAAATAAATAACATAACCAAAGTAAATGCAAAGAAAAAGAACATTATACTCGTATAAAAAATATGGTTTATGAATGTGTAAAATCCCCAGCCGATCATCTGATGTAGGAGGAGAAGTTGAGGTTAGTAACCATAGAAATGGGTTTGCATTTTTATCTATCGAGCATAAAGGAGATGAAGTGGCCAAAGTTTACTCAGCTGCCCCGAAATTATGGTGTCATTTGTTGCAGGTATAAAGGAAGAGTTAGGATTTAGGAACCTCTTGTTCTCCCTAAGAAGAAAAAAAAATCAAAAGAAAATAAAGATGAAGAGTAAATTGATAAAATATAAAGCAATCATCCCATATTTCTAAAGTAACAATCGACGATAATGACAGAAGTAAAACCGAATACCTAATATATCATGTCGATTTCTTTTAGTTTAGTAATCTTGTTAAACACTGATCGAGGGTAAGTAAACAGTGTTTGACGATTAAAAGAAGGAGACGAATGAAACCAAGAAAAAATCACTTATGGGGAACATATTTCTATACCTAATCCTAAAGTTAATGAAGCAAAGTTTCTTTGAATCGCCATCACCACATCCTTCGTTAAGTTTGAATCGCCCCCCGAGCGGTGGAGCCACCCGACCCTCCGTCTTGCTTACCTACAATTTACAGAAAACAATAAAGAAGACATGGATAAACGAAGAGAATAATAGAAAATCGAAAACTAACCTTGATGAAATTGAAGAAATTGAGGTGTGATTTCCAGAGATCATATGCCAACAATCGGTTTAGGACGTTATAGAAGAAACGTAATATGCGAAATCGAGGTTTGTGCATGCTAAATGAAAGCGATAATTGTGTTGGGTGTAGTTGTCGCTGCTACCGCTGACGAACTCCATCTGCCATCGCCGCTACTTCAACCATCGCAGGTAACAATCGTCGCCCTCCCCTCGTTGACTTCCCAGTGATTGATCAGCCAAAACCAAGAGACCTATCAGTGGGTGACGGTGGAGGTCAGAATGGAAGCAGGGAATACACACCTGTGCCACCAAATCCATGGCAGCCATTGAAGGTACCGTAGTAGAAGGGGCAAAATCGATCAGTGGGGTGGGGGTGGTTTTAGGGCTTCTAGACGATTTTGATGGAAGAAGAAAATGTTGGATAAGAACAATGAAACTGAAGGATCGATATTTCTTACCATGGTCGAGGAGCGAACCTGATGAACAGTACCCTGGTTAGAACTTTGGTTAAGCACTATTCCTAAGAAGTGCTCCCCTTTAATATAATAATAATAATAATAATAATAATAATAATAATAATAAAATCACACATATACACTCACCATACTTACTCTCCTATTATTTAGTTTGACGTTTAATTGTTTTCCGTGATATATCATGTTAAAAATAATATGTACTCCACTTACATATATTAAAAAAAATCACACATAAAATGTTAGAATGTTTTTTTTTATCTTAACATCCATTTTCAGGTAATGTTTTTTCTGAGTTTAATTTATTAAATATAAATTTTGAGGATTTTGGGTGGGCCACAACGTAGTGGTTGAGGACCTACGATGTGCCATCGTCTAAGTAAAAATAGAGTCGTGAAGCGCTATAATGTAGCAAGGCCATTGCCACGATGTGGCGGCTATTTTTGTGGAAAACCTTAGATCTTCGAGTTTGTACCATATTTAAGGACACTAATTCGTAAGATTGTTTTATTGGACAACCTCTATCCTCTAAGACCTTATTCCATCCAAACCATAGCCTTCAAATGTGTGTTTTGAGTGTGTGAAACCACTTTTATGAAGGTTGAAGGAAGAAAAATTACATTTTGGTGCTTGTATGTTTGACTCCAGCTTAGATCTTGCATCTTCATCACCTTGCTCATTAGATCTCTAGATCTAGTTCTAGGTTATTTTATGAGCGTTTTACTGTAACGCTGTAAATTTTCAAACAAGATTTTTCATTTTTAAACCACATAAAACTCAATGTCACATTTCTCAAAACCACAAATACATCAATTCTCAAAACACAAATCAACAAAATAACTGATAATATCCCAGAATCCTCAAACATAATCTCGAACAGGTGTATACAATCAAGTTGATGTCTTTCCGCGATCCTGAGAAGTACCTGAACACATAGCACACACCATGGTAAGCACGAAACTTAGTGAGTTTCCCAAAATACCACATATAAAAATAATAAGCCTCTCATGGCTATAGTTCGGCATGGACCCTCCGGTCATGCATCTCGGTGAGGACCTTCCGGTCTCATGGCTCGGTGTAGACCCTCCAGTCATGTGTCTCAGTGAAGACCCTCAGGTCTCACAGCTCGGGTTGGATCCTCCAGTCCTATATCTCAATGAAGACCCTTCGGTATCACAACTCGGTTTGGACCCTCCGGTCTTAACTCAGTAAGGCACAAAATAATATAGCATATATCACAAGGACAAAATGCATAATATCACATAACTCAGTATAAGCACATAGGACCCTTCAATCAATAACTCAAATAAGACCCTCCGATCACACAGTATTACCGCTCAGATAAGTATCGTGAAAAGACTCACCTCGTAAGTAAGCAAGTAGATCTAGTACCCCACGAACAGTCTAGACTCCGCCTATATAATATAATCATCTCTAATTAACACTTTGTAATTAAAACTTTTACAAGTTAGGCTAACCTCTTTCCTCACTCTCAGAAAGGGTGAAATACTATTGTAGCCCTCTTTGGTCTCTTCACTCATGTCTTGACCAAACCCTAAA